TGCATAGGCTTTGACTTATTTAAACCTATTTTATTTGTGGTTCCTCAAGCCTCTCTCCTTCCAAACCCCCAACCCTAGGTAGAAGAGAAAGAAGGTCAGGGGATGTAGACCTCTTCAGACATAGTTCCTTGGGTCAGTACCACTCTTTGTCATCAGGATATCCAGGAGTCCAGCAATCCAGCAATAGCAAAAGCAGCAGCAGCAGGGTTCAGCAATAATGGCACAAGAGTTCTCCGGAGCTTTTCTCTATAGGAGCAAAGTGAAGCTCAGTGCCCCCTCTCTCTCTGTCTCTCTGTCTCTCTGTCTCTCTGTCTCTCTCTCTCTCTCTCTCTCTCTCTCTCTCGTGTGTGTGTGTGTGTGTGTGTGTGTGTGTGTGTGTGTACCTATTTATACTTTTTCAGAGTCTATATCAGGGTATTTTTTAGCTGGCAAAAACCACGTCCCCTGCACGAGGCAGTTCCCTGTTGACAAGGATCCTGTGTTCTTTCAAGAGGCTGTTTACCAGCTGACAAAGATTAGGCACCTCTCAGGATGCTGCTATCAGCTATGGACAAAGCATCCCGCACTTGGGACTACAACAAAAACATCTACACAACACAACCAAAACTTCCGCTACAGTTATGAGACAGGGAACCTCCCAAAACACTGTTGAATTCCTTTCCTGTTGGCCTTCTACTACTGATGGCCTACCCTTAAGAGAAATTTGTTCCCCCAGTGAGACTTCCTTGGAAACAAATTTGCATTTGCAAATGGTTATCAGTTGGAGGTAGTATCTGCTTGGGGGCTCACATTTACTTCTTTCTGCTCTAGAACCCCATCTGGAGCAGACTAGTGCAGGCCTTATGCCTGCTGCCTCATTCTCATTGAGTTTTTGGCTAAATGGGTGACCAAGAACCTGAGACTAGATAGCCCGGGGACCTAGGGTAAAACTAAATACTAGTAGTTCTACTAAAGGAATTTAACAAGGAAATGACTTGTAATGCCATTCTGCTGTGCTCATAGATCGGAGCCCTGCTCAGCCATCATCAGAGAAGCTTTGTCCTGCAGTAGTTTGGAGCAAATACAGAGATCCACAGCCAGACAATATGCAGAGAATGAGACCTTGGAACACTCAGCCCGAAACAGGATGGCTCCATCAAATCCCTCCCCTGGGGGCCCAGGAAAGTGAAAAAGAGGCAGAAAGCGTGTAAGAGCCAGGAGTAGAGAACACCAAGGAAACAAGACCTTCTAAACAGTACAGGACTAATGCACATATGAAAAAAATATATTTTTCATCATTTAAGGGAGTCATGCTTCAAGTTTTCATCTAACATGAATAAAGTAAAAACAATGCTAAATACTTTAAAAAATAAAGTGAATTTGCCATTCTTTGTAGTCGCTATGGGGTTAAAATAAAATAAAAAATAAGACAAAAGGCTACACTGTGCATTCTTTTGTCACAAGGGGCTATACTATGCATTCTTGTTACAAAGGATTACAGCATACATTCTATTGTTACAAAAGGCTAAACCAAGATTCTATTGTTGACATAGTTCTTTGTGTCTTATTCTGTCTTTCAGTGGCTAATCTAGAGATTACAATACTTTGACTGTCACTTACTAGAAAAATTTAAAAATACTACCTATTTGACTTACAGGCCTACTTAAGCCTAATCCTGACTAAGCTGTTTTTATTGAAATACATTCTACACACACACACACACACACACACACACACACACACACACACCTGCCCCTGTATTGTTATTTGGAGGTTCTGCTTGAGCTCAGGTCATGATTAGCAGCTTCAGTTCTTAAGTCCAGGTTTTCAGTGTGAGGACAGATGCAATGGAATAAAAGTATTTGCAGAGCAAGAGGGTCTCTGCTATGTCCATGTTATCTTGCTAAAGGATCTGTGAAAAATACTGTGAGCCTCCTTTTTGGCACTAACAAAATGTGGGCCTCTCTAGAAGACTAGATGTCACGACACACCTCCTGGACTACCCCAAAGTGATCGGGGAAAGAGCAAGAGAAGAATATGCTGATTCTGTCTATCACTTGACCTTGAATACTGTACAACCCCTCCCACGAGATCACACACCTTCACACAGACACTCCAATCGTTGCTTTTCCTCATCTTATCTGACCTTTTGTCTAGGAACCACACCTGACTCAGGCCAGGTACAGGGTGTCAAGAGTTAATTCACCATTTCAGCTGTCATGTCTTGCCCTGCGTGATGTCAGTGCATTTTTCTGGTGTGTCTGCAATCTCTGAGCATGAGTAGGCTGGGGAGAAATGCCCCCGCCTTTTAGAAGCTTCCGACAGAGATCTTAAGTTAGAGAAATCGGCAATGAGGTTGAGATGAAGCGTTTCTTTTGTCACCAGGCACTAGGCAGTTGGTAAAGGCTGCCTAGCTTCTTTACTGTCCAGCACTGGACTTCTGGCAAAGCTGATGCAACACCATCAAGCCTATACCCCAAACTGGCAAATGTCCCAGGGATGTTGGATATCTGAATTGTGGTGGGCTGCAGTGTGGCAATGAGAACGACAGAACCATCAGTGTGGGAGCTGCCTCAAGACAGCAAGTGCAAGAAGCCGCCCACGAAGCGGTCATCATCGGTGACCACATTTACATGGTTTTCACGATCAAACACTTCATTTTCTCTCTAGAAATCAGGACAGTGGTTAATACGGAAGTGCAGTCGGCACCTGCTAGCAGGAAGAACAGACTTTTAGAGAGTTGATACGGCTTTATTATTTGACCGATAGTGCCAGGTAGGTTACCTTGTTTATTTAGGGGGGAGATGTGTTGTTTACATTTACAATTTTTATATATTCTTATACACATGAACTAGCTTATATGAAATTCTTACATTGTGGAGCCTAACGTGTAGGACTCCTTTTAATCACTGCTTCTTCTATGTAAAACTTCAGGTTGCAATGAATGCATAATGTGCTAAGCCGCAGGGATGGTTTGACATGTAAGCGAGCAGCACCGGGATTTCTGGACATGCTGTTATCTCAGAGAAATCATGACCATCTGGGCAGAGTCGATCCCTTTCTGCTCCTCGTGCTGCTCCTCTCGTGTTGGGACGGTGTCCCAGTTCATGCACTTGATGCCCATCAATGATCTCTTCATGGACCTTACAAACACCGCATCTTCGGGGTCAGCAAACACTGTCCTGCAAAGGCAGCAAAAAACTAAGCGTGTGAGCAGCGGGACTTCCTGTGTGTGTGTGTGTGTGTGTGTGTGTGTGTGTGTGTGTGTGTGTAGGGTAGTGACCAGGGTGTCTCATGATCCTGGGGAACTGCTTTTCGTAAAGCCCTGAAGTTCTTATCTAAGTGAATTATTATAAATTCATATAAATAATAAATTGCATGAGTTCCACCAAAATTATGGTCTTTACTGACATGACTTTCAGGCCAAGTGAAAAAAGTGGAGTTTCTAGATATGTTTCAGGATCTATTATCAAAGTCTCCCATGCTCATGTGTTCCTGCTGGAAAACTGGAAATACTTTTTGGTATCATGCATAATAATATTGTAAACATTTTATTTTGAAGTTATTTCCCTACTTATTTTGTATATTAAGAGAATATTTTTTAACATTGGACCTAAGGAAAACATTCAGACTTAGAAAAGTAATGGTTTTTAAATTCATTAGTATTCATGAATTTGAAATGTCCTCCACAGAATTAGTGAACTGTTTGCTTTAGAACATTGTAAATTCTAATGGATGTAAAATGTTAATCTACATGATAATTCTTTTTACTGAAGGTATTTAAGGGCAAAGCAAACAAGCCAATTTCCTCATTTGGAATAGTTAATAGTTCTTAACAAGTTTTAATATTTTATGCATCTAATCATCTGCTTACTTACTTAAGATTATAATAATAACATTAAAATTAAAAGCCTGAACATACCAAATATGAACTCATTTGTCAAAGAAAATCAACCATTTTTTCCATCTATTGAAAGGCTAATACCTTTTAATTAATTAAAATCTACTAAAGATAGGTATGATTTAGAGATAAGACAATTATTCTAAAAAGTCTGACAGTTAAAGTAAAGATGTAAAAACAAAGACAAAATCCACTTACTTGTCAACATTATCCCCAAATGCAAAATCTGAAAGTAAAATTCTAAATTAGTATTTTTCAAACATTTGATCAGCACTTAAAAATAATGAGACAATGTTGGCTATTCTTTTCAAGTAAGCTGGCAAAACCACCTTTATAAACTAGAACAAATTTGAGAATTTCCCTCAGGTAATGCATTTTCCTAAGGCTTTGGAGCAGTCTTTAATATAAGACATCTCAAAGCCCTGAAAACAATGTATCAAATCAGCATGGCTGGACTCCATTGTCTCTGATATGCGGGGTTCATACACAGAAGAAGCCCTGTTTTCCCTGATGAGTACATGCTTCTGTAAGAGTAGTCAGGACAAGTATCTTGGGCCATCTCAGCCATTCGGACTCTTGGCATGGACTTCAAAGAAAGAACAAACAAATCCCAGATCACAAGACTCCCATCTTCCAGAGCTTAGTGCTGAAGGGCCAGACATCATAGCCTGGAGCTCTGGGGGTAGCTGCCAGTCTGCTGTGGGTTTGTTTATTCCTCTTCAGAAGGCCTGGTGCTGGGCCAAAGACAGAACCTTCCCGCACCTGTTGGGCCACTAAAGCCTTGAGCGTGAGCTCTTTCCAGGCCTCAAGAGAGGACACAGCCGAGAGCTGTGGCATCATTCCTTTCCCAAGTGGCTGCCCAAGTCTCCTGGCCCTTCTTCACTTCCCAGGCAGTCCTCCCCGACCTGCACAGCAGTGCTGAGGTATAACTGAAAAGTAACAATTACGCAGATTTATGTTGTGCTACTAGATGTTTTGGTACATACACACCTGGCGTCTCACACAGCTACTGTTTTCTCTTTTGGGTGTGCATACGATAAGTACATTAAAGGTACCCTCCTTCTTTATTTTTTTTAGCAGAGTTTTAACCATAGTTACGTTCCATTAGAGCCCCAGGGGTTGGTTGCCATGCACAGCTGAGACTCCTCTTTGACCCAGATCTCCTCCTTTCTCCCTCTGACCAGCAAGACCACCGTTTCCATGGTGATCGCCCAATGCAGCAGGGGTCGCCCAACACAGCAACAGAGGAAGACACCCCGTGTTCTGACCTAGTGTCTATGCATGTGCTCAGACATTGGCCACATACACTCTACTCCGTGCCTTTAACTACTACAAATATATCATGAGGTAAGTCTATATTGGGGTAGTTTGTGTTGTACGAATGTCAGCTAATACAATATTACCCGTGGCTAACCATTAGAGGTCTCTCCTGCCTTTACTATTAAAAAAAGACACTGCAATGAGCAGCTTCATGTTTTTCTTGCCCACGTGTGCATATACTTGCTCAGGAGAGACTTCAAATTGCATTTTTATGTCATATACTTTGCAGATTCTACCTACTGAAAGGTACTGCAGTTTGGTCTCCAAGAAAGTTGACCTGATTCATGGTTTCAGAAACAGCATGTCATGAGCTTTTGCTTTCTCACTTTTATCCTTTAAAGGTTTTCCCCCTCTGTGTTGGATGAAAATGGTATTTTACTGCTTTGGTTTGTACTTTTTTGGCAATAAGTAAAGATATTCACTGTATCCATTTCTTATTTTCTAGGAATGACTTGTTTATATTCTTTGTTGTTTTATCTACAGGGATTTTATTTTATTTGGCTTTAATCGTGTGTGTGTGTGTGTGTGTGTGTGTGTGTGTGTGTGTGCACATAGCTACACTCACCTTGCATGTACATGAGCAGAGCCAGAGGCCTACTTCCGTTGTCCTCCTCTGCTGCTCTCCACCTTTTTTTGAGACAAGGACTCTCACAGGACTGAGCCCAGCGCTGCAGATGAGTGGCTGCCTGTGAGCTTTGGGGATGTGTCTGTTTCCACACTGCCTTTCTTTCCTCAGTTCGGGAGTCACTGGCACATGCTGGCACTCTGGGCTTTTTGTTCATGCTGGGACTCCTAAATCAGCCCCCACATTTGTCCAGCAAACACCTTACTCACTGTCCATGTCCCCAGCCCATCGAGCATTTTGTTGTTACTTGGTGGTTTTACAGAATCGTCTTGTCTAGCTCAGGCTGACCTGGAACATGAGGCTCCTGTCTCAGCCTCCTTACACAGGAACCCAGTGTGCCCTGGCCTCACAGGAAGTTCCTGTTTTTGTTTTGTTTTGTTTTTTGTTTAGTGCTGGAGATCAAACCTGGACTTTGGGCATGCTCAGCACGCACTTTGCCCCTGGCACCACCTTAGCCCTGCTCCTGGGATTACAGCAAGTGGATTGTGAGAGTCTGTTAGGGTCTGTGAGGATCAGCTTCCACCTGTTGCTCTGCTTCTTCCAGTTTGTGTTTTAATGTTGCCCCCATGCTGCATCAGAGCTTTTACTTTTATGTAGACAAATCTGTCAGTATTTCTTCCAGTATCACAGAACTTTACAGTAGCTCTGTTCAATTTGTCCCTGTGTCCTTTGCTATGTGAGTAAAATAAATCTCTATTTGGACGTTACATAAAATATGTGCCAACTGACAAAGCGTAACTGAAATTATCTGTAATATTTCTATATGACACCTTGGATGTGAGAATAACCAAAATATTGATAGTGTTAATTTTTGGCCGGTAAAATTGCAAATGATCTTCATTTCTTCTTAACATTTTTCCTATATGATAAAATGTCTACCCTTTATTGAGAAAACTGCCATTGGCAATAGCAATGGCAACTTACATATTTTTTTCCTCCCCTGCACTGGATACTGGAGACAGGCTTCATGGTATCCCCTTCACTGTTATGGAACTATGTCAGGGAACATGGATGAGTGAAGGTTTTACATTATTCACTTTACCAACAGTGGAAAATATGAAGTGGAAATGCAATCTTAGAAATTGAGTAGAAGCTACTTCACTATCCAAGAAAGGTACAGTTCTTAGTACAATCAAGCGTTCGTAGAGCTCACTGGGTAACATCTCATTTTCATTTTTGCACAGTACCTGAAGGAAGTTTTTGGACTACTTTTTGCCTTGTTGGTGACTTGCGGTCCACTCTTCTTCCAAAGGCTATTGATTGAACAATATGAGCTTTCTTGTGGTCAAAAATGGTAATCATAGATTGTCTCTCTTTCTCTGTAACTTCTAATCAAGGCAAAAGAGAGAGAAAGGCAGGGTATTTAGAATTAACACAAGCATGCAGCATGATTAAAAGACTGATCTGAGCAATCTGACCAGCCAAATCGGTGAGGCTCTGGTTTAGGTGAGACCCTGACTCCACACACAAGGAGGAGAGAGATCAAAGAAGACAGCCAGCCAGTGTCACCCCCTGATCCCACAAACATGTGCGTGCAACAGCACACACAAGTGTGCCCACACAAGCACATATACATGCACTAACACACACACACACACACACACACACACACACACACACTGATGTTGGGGTGGTTTTTATGTCAAAATACATTTAAGTTATGTATGACTATTTGTTGAAATAGATTTTGTGAAGAGATTTCAAAGGAATTAGTACAATCTCCCAAGCACTCAGTAGATGGCCTCATGTCACTGGGTGCAGCTCAACCCTGTGGCCTAGCACACTCCTGAGACTCTCTAGCTTATGGCTGACATGGCACCAGGAAGCACCCTTCGTTCATTCCCTCATCACCGTTGGAAAGGGGATGGTCAGGTCTTGATATATCCTCATGGGAAGACTTCCACAGTAACAACCCATGAGGGATAGTCTTTAGAGTTAGAAAGATAATGGAACACAGATAGATCATATTGTATGAGGATGAATTAGGCCTCAAAAGTGCACAATGGAATGCATGCTTTTATATGTGTACGTGCTAAACATATATAATGCATGTCATATATATGTGTGTGTGCTGTATATGTATAACGCATGTCTTATATATGTGTGTGTTATATATGTATAACACATGTCTTATGTAATATGAGTGTGCTATATATATAATGCATGTCTTCTATATCTGTGTGCACACTGTGCTATATATGTATAATGCATGCTTATGTATGTGTGTGTATAGACATGTGCAACTAGACATGTATAAGAGGTAACTGTTGAGCATGCCAATTTTAATAATGAACTTATAGAATTTTTAAGAAGATGACTTTTAGAGTTTAGATCTTAAAAAATTTAGTATAAATCAGTTTTGAAATAAGAAACCAAGTGTCAAGCCAGGCAGTGGTGGTGGTGTACACCTTTAATCCTAGCACTCAGGAGGCAGAGGCAAGTGAATCTGTGGGTTCATGGCCATCCTGGTCTAGAACTAGGGCTACACAGAGGAACCTTGTCTCAAACAAAAGAAAGCGAAAGGAAGGAAGGAAGGAAGGAAGGAAGGAAGGAAGGAAGGAAGGAAGGAAAGAAAGAAAGAAAGAAAGAAAGAAAGAAAGAAAGAAAGAAAGAA